TTTTTTTTAACTGACAGATAATAAGTGTACATATTCGTGGGTACATAATGATGTCTTGATACATATATAGTGATCAAATCAGGGTAATCAGCACATCCATCCTCTTAAACACTTGTTATTTCTTTATGTTGGGAATGTTCAATATCCTTCCAGTTATTTGAAACAATATATTATTGTTAACTATAGTCATCCTATAGTAGTACAGAATACTAGAACTCATTCCTTCTAAACAGGCAAAGCTCTGTAATTTTGTATCCTTTATCTCTCCCTATGCCTCCTTTCTCCTAGAATCCTGTAGTATCCTCTGTCCTACTTTTTACTTCCAGATCAACTTTAGCCAGGTACAGTGGCTTATACCTGTAATCCCAGCACTTAGGCGTAAGCGAGAGGATTGCCTGAGCTCAGGGGTTCCAGACTAGCCTAGGCAACTTGGAGAGAGCTTATCCCTGCAATAAATCAAAAAATTAGACAGGAGGGGTGGTGCATGCCTGTAGTTCTAGTTACTTGTAAGGTTGAGGCAGAAAGATCGCCTGGGCCCAGCAAGTAGAGGCTGCAGTAGCTGTGAGTGTGCCACTGCATGCCAGTGTAGGCTACAGAGTGAGACTCTTGTTATACAACAGTTATGCATATATTTTCAATAATACTGGTGATATAAAAAAGTAAGCCCTCATCTGTGCTTTAATTTCTTAGGCAAAATTGTACAAAATTCCCTAAAGTACAATTGCAAGAACAACTGCTAAAGCACTCAGACCCCAATAGGAAAGAAGAGAGGTACTTTATGGAAGGATAGAGACATTATGATATGCAAATTGTTGAACACAATTCCTATCACATAGTAGGAACCCAAAAATGATAACATTTTTTCTTTACCTCATTTTTTGGGTACAGTTTTTTTGTTGTGAATGATTGAGAAATGTCTATTATTTTAATTTAGGTGATTAAAAGATGTGAAACAAATTAAAACACAGCAGTCCTTTGATTATAGGACATTAATTCAGTTCTCTAGTGTCCTCTCCTATAATGTAAATTTTAGGAGGACTTTAAAGCCCTAAAAACCTACAATGATCTAACAAGTAGAGATACTCAATAGAGATTTCTCTTGTACATGCTTTATGGACTGTGTATTATTTGTGTGGAGCATTAGTGTACTAAGACTATATTATTTCTAAACAGAGTGCTAATATATAACTATTGAAAGTAAAATATTAATTTTTATAAAAATAAACAAAAAATAATTAATAACTAGTGATTAAGAGTCTCTGGCTGAATTATAAAACCTAGTTTGATCAATTTATCGTTTAGCTCAAGAATCAGAATTAAAATTTTTAAAGAAGCTTGAAACAGGCTCCTTAGCAAAACAGTGTAGTTTGATATAAACAAATAAATATAATATACTCCCAAATGAAAACAAATTGAGTCTAGGATAGAAAAGAAAATAATTTGATTTCTTAAAAGGTACACTATAACCTACTTAAAATATATATATATATATATATATATATATATATATA